GCCGTGGCATCTACTGTTTCTTCAATTTAGCATTTGCCAACTTCCTGCCTTCGTGTACGTTGTGATCAGACCCACCTGGCGTTCACATGCTTAACAGCCTGATTTGCACAGAAGAACCGAGGCTTCTCCACCTTGTATTCGCATAGCTGAGTGGGGCTGACTTCACCTCCCTCCCAGTCAGGAAAGGCAGGCATACGTCCCAGGCCTGGCCCATCGGTGTCATGTGATTGGTTTGGGAGGGGATAAACACATGACCCAATTGAAGCCAATGAGATCTAAGCTGGGAACTTTTGCTAACACAGTTGGGAAAGAAACACTTTTCTTACTGGAGTTTCTAAACTGGAAGTGTTTGTAAGCCTTCAGCTTCTAGGGGCCATCTGTGCCACCACATGGGGAGAGCCTGCCCAAGAGTGAAGCCAACACAGAGGAAATCAAAGCTGGGAGACAGGAAGGAAGATATTTTTAAAGATAGCATTTGAGCACCTGGGTTTGGCCACACCTTAATACAGCCCACCCCAGGTGTTCTCAGTCATATGAGTTAAAGTTGGGTTTCTGTCACTTTAACCGAGTTAAAGTTGGGTTTCTGTCACTTTCAACAAGAGTACTAAGCAATGCACTTGCTAAGGGTAAGGTGCCATGCTGTGCAGTGGGGATACAATAGAAAAGATGTGACCCTGACCCTAAAGGATCCCATGTACTACCTTTTTGTTTTTCATAACAGCTATATGAGATATAATTAATGTACTATAACATTCACCGTTTAAAGTGTATAATTCCATGGTTGTTAACATATTCACAGAATCACACAACTGCATCCACTATCATTTTCTACCCTGCATTGAAAATGGTGACTATGTTCCTTGCCCTGCTCACTAGTCCCCGGTTGTCCCTCTCAAGCCCAGAGCTGTGTTTCGCACCTTTCTGCAGTACCAGCCACTCCAGCAGGTGCTCAATAAACATCTGTTGTGCTACACTCAGACTTTTATAGGAAGTGCAGCTTCAATCCAACAGTTCTTTGGATCCTTTCTAAAATACTACGAATAAGAGAACAGATATTTGGCAAAGTCACTCAAGCAAAACACATGCTCACCAATCATTGGGTTTTCTACACTGTATATCTGCATCAGGGTGCTCTTCCTTTGGCCCCCTCAACTTTCCCTAAGTTTATTATAGAATGATTTAAAATAGTAACAAGTTGGAAAATATATAAGTCCAACAATAGAGGAATGATTAAATACTTTGGTGTACCCATAGGATAGAATATTATACAGCCACCCAAAATCATCTTTACAAAGAGGATTCAAGGACATAGGGAAATACCCATGATACAATGTTAACTAAATGAAACAAAATATAAATGATCACATAGAGTATGATTTCAAGTACATAATAGTAATCAATGGCAACCGGAAGGGAATAATGCTAATTATTAGATATAATTATTTTTGTATACATGGATTATGGGAAATTATTATTTTTCTTTATGCTTCTCTGTAATTTTTTAATCTTCCTATAATGACTATTAATGAAATCAGAAAAGCCAGCATTATTTTTAACTCATTTTAAAATTATTATTTATTAATGTGGCTACCAAAAAATACGAAACAACCACATGGGAAACAGAACATTTCTTAATCTCCTGCAAAAATGTTTTTAAAAAGACATTGTTAAAAAGCAAAAGAAAGAAAGACATTGTCCCTCATATTCTTTTCATCAAATAGGTAAGTAATATAACCAACCTACCATGTTTGCCTTTTTACCTTGACTGCTGGGAAGCTCAGAACTAAAATTTAATACTCAAAATGCAGTAACTATTTTGGCCCAAGTTCTTAGTATAGTAACTTCCATGCATTTACATAGTTTCTGGTGCTTCCTTTTATCTGTATTTTCAGTTGTCTTGCTTGTCCCAATCTTTCTTGGAATATATAAACAAGTATTTGCTGGAATGATTTAATGTGACACCAGAGAAGCAGAGGTTCTTACAGACAGGTGTTCTGTTGAGATGTTTCATTTTTACAAACACATGGCATTGAGTGGGGCTTTGAAGATTCGACTGCTATTCTAATCACAGTAGAGAGTTGATCTGGATGTAGGAGGCTTTTTATTGAAACAGGTTGTCCTCAATGACTAGATTAACCCATTCCTTGCTAAATCTCCATCTCCTTGCAGACAAAGGCCATCCTGGCTGCCCACAATCACTGGCCATTGAGGCCATTGACTGACAGCAAATGTCAGCAAAGCCAGCCAAAATCCATTCACCACATCCATCCCGAGTGCAAGTCTACAGATGACGTGACACAGCCTGCAAATAATTAGGCAGTGCACATAATCCACAAAGACAGCCAACATGAATAAACCCCCATGAGGCCCCAAACACTCTTCAGATCAATCTGGATTTTGCTGCAAATTAACCAAACTGATCCTACCCTCACTCCAGCTCAGGGAAAAAGCACCTCTACTTTAAAGATAAGACCACTTGAAAAAATTAAGTAATTATAACACCTAGGCACTCTCCCAAATGTGATACTTCATGGCAGGAGATCACACATTTGATTGTTAACTAGAATTCTTTTTTTCTGGTGATAACTTCACTGACTTGCCATGAGATTTCAAAAGCAAGAAAAAGAAATAAACAGGCTTAATATTTTAGTTGTATCCATTTTTATCGCATCTAAAGCCACAATGTCTTACTTGTGAATCCACACCAAATGAAAACGAAGGAAGAGAAGCAGGAAACATTTATTTAGTGCTTACAGCATGCCAGACAGAGCACTGGCTCCTGAGCCTGCCAGCTCCCTTAAGCCCCGTGTCACCACCCCGCAGAGTACATATAATATTCCCACTTTTTTAGATGGAGAACTCTAGGCTTAGAGAGATTAAATACCTAGCTCAAGGTCACTCAGCAGGGAAGGTGACCAGTTTCTGACTAGAACACAGGTCCAACCTACCCCAAAGCCCTTGCTGTGGGCCCCTTCAAAAGGCTAGAGGCAATTCCCTGTTTGCAAGAGGCTGAAATTATCCTCTGTCCTCCTTCTGACTGTTTCCTAAATATTCTCATGAACTGAAGAGCCTCTGACTGCCTCACCCTCTTGACTTTGGGCTCTCTCACTCAGAAAGTGATCAAGGCACACTTGAAAAATAAAATGTAAAAGCTTCAACCTACACCCTGAAACCAAGCTCCCATCTCTTTGCTGCCACAACCAGGCCAATACGAAATCTCTTTCAGGGAAGCTTTCTAAAGGGAAGAAACTGATGACGTAAACATTGTGTTGCTGACAATACTTGCTGATGATGCAAGCAGGGCTGCCCTGTCTACAAATGTTTTGTCCCCTAAGAACCGGCTCCCTGGTGTCCCTTCCAGAAGAATATGCATGTAAGTGACAGAGAAACAGTGTCAAGAAGACATGCCTCCGTAACTGCATTGCTCTCTCCATTTATGTGTGCCGGACAAGTACCCCAGAGAACTTAAAATGCTCGGGCAAAGAGGAGGGTGATAGGAATGTCATTGGGAAATGATCTCACACCCGGGTTAGCCCTGCACAGCCACCCAGCTTGCATCCTCTTGGGCAGAGGACACCTCTCCGCCTGCAGCAGCCTGCGCGCACCGCCGCCAACTGCCACCGTTTCCTTCACCTTTTATTTACAGCGCAGAGCAGGCTGGTTCGTTCAGTGAAGCGGGGGAGGCGGGGAATAAGATACAATCCAGATTCTGCTTTCTGGGGGGACATAAAAAGGGTCAGACAGAGGAGGGAGTGGAGCCCAGGTTGCACCAGCAGCGCAGTAGCGCGACCCTCCTCCCCAGAGGGCTCTGCAGCTGGGCTCAAGCAGAGGCGCCCGGGGAGTCCCGGCAAGCCGGGGTCAAGCCCAACACCTCGGCCCGGCTCGGCGGGGTGGCAGAGGCGCCAACTGAGCGTACTGCACAGGAAATCACTGCCCCCTTCAGGCCGCCTCGCAGACACTGCGGCCAGAGCGTAGGGGCTCCCTGGGTCCGGAAAAACTCGCAAACCCGACCTTGCGCAGCCAGCGATGGCTCCTCCAGGGCCCTCCGCGCGCCCCAGCTCCCGGGCTGGCGGTGAAGGTCCGCGCAGGGGCTTCAGGTGGAACCCAAACCGAGAGGTGGGGAGGAGTTCTGGAATGAGAAGCTCCGGCTCTGCTCATGGAAGGAGGCCGGGAGGGGAAGCCCTCCGCTGCGCTCCAAGTCCGTGCTCCAGCTACTAGAACGCTTTACCCTGCGCCTGGAGAAACAGTGCCCGCAGCTGCTGGGCCAACAGCAGCGGCGCAGCCAGATACTACCGCGTGTCGGGGACGAGACCTGCCAGGGCACTCTCTGAGCAACTAACCCTGGGGAGGGGGAGTCTCCTCATAGAACAGCTCTGGCTACAAGTAGCGTCCGCCACATCCAGGCAGAAGCGCTGCAGAGCCGCCGGGCTCTGAGCGGCTGGCGCGCAGTATGCGCCCAGCCCCGCTGCGCGCCCGAGCCCCTGGGGTCCCTGAGCTCTCTGGACCTCAAAGCGCGGGTCGGCTTTCCTGGGGGCCTGGGAGCAGGCCCGCAGCCCCTCCGGCCCTGGGCGGCCCAGTTTGCAGTCAACGCTTCTGTTCCTCCCACCCGGCACCGCACAGCCCCACGAACGGGACCTGGGCAGGAGCAATCATTACAGGCCTTTGGGGGTCCAGTCCCCACCTTCTCCACTCCTTTTTCTCTGGTCAAAATAGACCCTGGTCTTCTATCGCACTCCACACACACACACACACACACACACACACACACACACACACACACACAAAATCCCAGAGGAGGTGGGTGCTTGGCAAATCTTGGTATCAGCTGTGCCAGCCAAGCCCAGCGGGACCCTGGGGTGAGCACTGTGCACCAGCCCGAGGTGCCTTCGATAGGAGCGGGCGGGTCAACATTCTGCCCAAGAGCCAGAGCTTGCCTCTGCCCAACACTCTCCACTCCATCGCCCCCCGAGCCCCGACGGCATGGGCAGCCGGACACTCACCTCGGTATCATAGAGCCGCAGGTCGAGAAAGTAGGGGCGCAAGAGTGACTCGTTGCGGATCTGCTCGATGGCCAGCTCCACGGCGGGGAGCACGCCGCGCCCGATGCTGCCCTTGGCCACCTCCTTGGTGAGCGGCATGAGGCCCATGATGGAGAGCGGCGGGCTGCTGGGCGGCGGCCGGGGGGCGCCCCGCGCCCAGCCCCAGGCCCCGGGCGCCAGCAGCAACAGCAGCGGCAGCAGCAGGAGCAGCAGCAGGCGCGCAGGCGGCCGTGGCGGCGGCGGCGGCGGCCCGGGCTGCCCGGAGCTCCGCGCGGAAGCCATGCCGCGCCGCGGGCTGCGGGCGCCGGCTCACTCGGCCCGCATGGCCTGCCCTGGCCCGCCGCCCCGCGCCAAGCTCTCCCCTCAGCGCCCGCGCAATGGCGCCGGCTCGGGCCCCGGCTCCGGTTCGGGATCGGGCTCCTGCTCGGCTCAGAACGGCCCCGGCGGCGGAGGCAGCGGCGGCGCCCGTGACGGATCAATCACGCCGGGAAGGGGTGGGAGCCAGCGGAGTGCGGGAGGCGGGGAGCAAGCGAGCAAACGCGGAGAGGGGGGCCCGCGTCTCCGCGCGCGCCTCTCTCCAGCGCGGCCGCCCCGCACCGGGCCGCCTCTGCCCGCCCCCGTGCGCTCTCTGAGCCGCTCTCCCGCCGGGAGCTGCTAGGCGGCCGCCCCTGGAGCCCGGCCGGGGGAGGGCGGGCGGCAGGAAACGCGGGAGGCGAAGGCGAGGCTGCTCAGCGGCGGCTCGGGCCGCCTCCAGGGACGGGGACGAGCCGTGCGCGCCGGGGGAGGGGGAGGTGCTGGCGCTGCGGCGGCCGTGGGGAGGGCCACCTTCCCAGCACACGCACACACGCGCCCCCGGCCCGCCGACCGACCGGACCAGAGCGCCGGGGGACAGCGATCGGAGAACCAGGACCGCGCTCTGGCACACGCAGTGGCCGCCGCTGCTTCTCGGAGTGCTTCCTGTAGCACCTGCACGATGGTTTGGAACTGCTTCTTGGAGGTCTGGCCGAGAAGGTCTGGGCGGGCGAACGTTCCACGAAGGCGTTCTAGAGATATCTGTCTGCAGCCTAAGCTCTCCTGTTCTGCTCTGGCACCCACAGGTCCTGACTGAGGCCGGAGGGTCGTGGAAGACGCCTGCTGGAGCTCGAACGCCCCTTGGTGCTAGGCGGCCTGGTCTTTAGGGCCTTGGCTGAGGATACTCCTCCCCTCCCCACCAGACGGAGCGGCCTCCCTTTGACAACCCTAGGCGAAGCTGGGGTCCAAATCTTGCGTGCACTACCGCCCCCTCCAGGCATTTGACCTCCCCGCGTCCCCACTCCTGACGGCTCCGCCCTAGAATTCTCCCCGGGGTGGGAGCACTACATGCCGGACCCCGAGCACCCCTGGACTTGGCCCTCTCTCTGCCAGGTCGCACTGGCCGCGCTGGGCAATCCTAGGCAAAGCAGTCCCGGACCAGATGTGCCCGAAAGAGCTGACCTAAGACCTTGGTCCCATGTGTCTCTTCATGCTTGAAGAATGGGAATCAGGGTCATTAATTTATAAAATCCCAGGGGCTGACTAATGCTGGGAACACAGTAGGACATCAGATCACAAAACATCCTTGAGCCCGAGCCAGGCAATGTGGGCCATATCGACGACCTTGTAACAAGGATGGGAATTTAACCTTCCCTGAGCACTTACTATCATATTAATACATGCCTCATAATGCAACTCTCACAACAGCCCTGTGAACTAAACGTGCTGCGTTTAACACCCTCACTTTGCAGGTGAATACACTGAGGCTCAGAGAGGTTCCGTAGCTAGTCAAAGTACACAGAGCCACGGAGGAAGGATGGAACCCAGGACCAGCTGGACGTCTGTACACGGTGCAGTGGGAGCCAGGATGCTGTGATGCTCAACTGCTCTGGACCTCGGTTCCCTCACGCACGTGGTGAGGGATGTGCTCCAGGTAGTGTCCACAGACTCACTCTTACCGAGTGAGGCCAGGGCAGCCCCGAGTCAGGGCGGGGTTATAAGCAGGAAACAGGAAGACCTGAGCAGAGGTTGAGCAGAACCACTGCGAAGTACCTTGGACAGCGCCAGGGAAACCACGCCAAATTCTCCCCGCCTGACTTCTTTCTAGGCTTCTGTGATACTCGTAGCTCCACTCAGCCTTTCCTCCTCCCCAAGCTGGACGGTCTGCACGAGCAGAGCTCACCTGAGCATTTCCATAAATATATATTTACATACACACACGGTTAAAGGACAGTGGGATCCCCAGACATTTGCTCAGCTGCTCTCTCACTTGACATCACAAACGCCTTCTAATCATAGGCTTCTGGAACTTACCATTCCTCAACTCCTCAGTTCAGGTTTCTGAATGAGCATTTTCAGACTTTTTTTCTTCTTTTTCCCCTTAGTCATTTGTGTTTTCCTTGTAAACTGTGCCAATATGGAATATCCACTGACACTACATCTGGAAATAAGTCAAAAGCTGGGGTAACTCTGCCTGACATTCACTAATGGATTGAAGGCCCTGCCTGGCATCTTGCCCTCTTATCCCTTTATTTCCACTTATGGGGTGACCAGGCCCCAAGATGCACAGCCTGGGACCAGCCCTGAGCAGAGAAGCAAGGCCAAGCTCTGATCTCACACCCTATCTCTGATGTCTGTGTTATGAGATCCTAGCCTGACCTTGTGTTCTAGTTTGGCTCCCTGGGATCCTTCCTGAGTGTGAGTTCCTGCCTCAGTCACCAGCCTAGAGCCCATGTTTCTGTAGAGCTGGGATCCAGCCTCTTGCTTTATAATAATCACTTGTTCCTTCGAGCAATGTTTCAGAAGCCCTATTACCTGCTGGGCAGTGTCCTTGTTGCTGAGGATACAGGAAAGAACAAACCAGCCCCAAATCCCTGCCCTTGTAGAAGTGACATTCTAGTGGAGAAAGAGAAGCAATAAGTGGGTATAAGAAGATATTTTAGTATGTCAGTTTATGAAAAGTGAACAGTAAGGCAGGAAAGAAGATGGAGATTGGCAGGGTGGAGCTGCAATTCAAAATAGGGAGGTCAGGGAAGGACACACTGAGGTGGCTTCTCAGCAAAGATCTGAAAAGGGTAAGTAAGAAAGACATGCAAGTAGTATTCCATGCAGAGGAACAGCAAAGGTATAGGCTCTGCGACAGAAGTATGCCTGACATGTTCAAGGAACAGTCTGAAAGCCAATGTGGCAGGAGCAGAGTGAGCAAGGGGCAAAGCAGTAGGGCCCAAGGCCACATGCAGGTGGGCTCATGTGGTGCCTGGGCACTCTGAGGACCCTGGTCTATACACATGGAACGGGAACCATAGGAAGGTATTTCGTGGGTCATGACAGGGCCACTCTGGCTGCCAAATGGAGAATTAGCAGGACAAAGGCTGGGAGCAGGAATACCAGTTAAGAGGCCATTACAATAAGCCACATCTGGTGCCAGACCAGGGTATAAGCAGAGGAGAGGATGAGAAGTGTCTAGAGTAATAACTATTCTCATTAATGGGAATAAAATGTATTGGCCAAGTCCCAGGACTGTGGGAAACACTTGATTCCCATGAGCTCATCTACCTTATAAGAGAGTTAAGAGAGACTTAGAAAACAACGTGTTCACAGTGCACCTCCAGAAAGTGATAAAATGTCAATGTCAGCTCAGGTTTGAATGGCTTACATTCTTGTCTTCTTCCCATCAGCCTGCCTCCTTAGCAATCCTTTCTCCCACACCCTACACACTGAAATCAGTCTCCAAACCCCAGCTCAGCGGTTGAGACTTGGTGCCTGCTCCCTTTCTGGGGAGTCTGGGGCTTCATGGCCCATCTGGCTGCCTGTCAGCAGGACACTCCATCCCTTTAAACAGGATCCCAACACTGGGAAGCTAACAGGCCTTCTTCCTCCACTGTCTGCTCTCCTTCCACACTGGGCTGGTCACCCCTGCCACCCAGGCCTGCTCGTATCTGCTCTCTGCAGATGCTGCTTCCAGGAACTGGCTCCAGTTTCCAATACTCTCTTCCCAGTTTGACCCAGACATCCATGCCACCCTCTACTCTAACTCCCAGCAAGGTCTTCTCTTACTTCCTTCTTAAAAATAAAATTATATATATATATATATATATATATATATATATATATATATATATATATATATATATATATAATCTTTGCAAACATATCCCATGCATTTCTCATTCATCTTTATATTGAAATGTTTCTTTTAATTAAATGGCTCAGCCCCTTTATTTTTTTTGAAGTACCTTATTTGTTTTCATCTCCTCTTTTTTTTTTTAACATGGTAAGTTACAAATGATGGCTTTAAAAAATAGTAACTGAATGAATCTAAGTTGCTTTTCCCTTTCCACAAGGCATGTTTTTTAAACTGTAAAATTGGGTTTCAGGCATCCAATGTGGTCTGGTGACACAGTTTGAGTAATAATAATAGCTACAATTTATTAAACACCTACCTACTCTGTGCCAGACACCTTGGAATGCAACATCTTAATCTTCATGGCTACCTAAAAAATAAGTACTAGGATCCCAGTTTTGCAAATTAAGAGACCAAGGCCCAGATTGATTAAATAGTGTGCCTGATGATGCTCAACAGCAGCAGTGAGGGGACCCAGACCCAGTATATCTCACCCCAATTCCTGCTCCACTTACCTGTCCTTGAAGATGCCCTTGTAGGACTGAGGAGGAAAGTCTTAAAGAGGTAAAGAACACTGTTGAAGGCCAGCACCAAAGAGAAATGAAACGAGTTGGCCTGGGTCCCCCAGTGAATTAAAGATGGATCTGGGTCTTCTGGGTTATTAGGGAGGAGAGCATCTGTCCTGGAGAGTCCGTAACTAAATCCTGCAGCAATCATTGCCATGCCTGGGACAGAACATCAGAGCCTGGAGCCTCCTCTGGTTTGAGAACTGTGGAAGGTTACTCCACGTCAGCAGGACAGGACCTGAAGGGACAGAGGTGGGAAACTCAGCTTATAATTGGGTGATCTCCAGAGGCTGGCAAAGGGGCCAAAGGCCCCTCTCATTCAGAGGTTACAGAACCAATAAGATCTTTGACAAAGGAAACCATGGAAGGACAAGATGCACATTTCTGGAACAGAGCCTTAGATGGAGAAGAGACCTATAAAGTCTCTGGTCTCACACCTGCCAAATATATGAGTTCCTCTTTACCCCTTAGGGACAATGGTGAGTTTTAAAGCCAGATAGCCTTGGGTTTATATCTGGGTTTACTCATTACCAGTGGTGCAGCTTTGGGTAAATCACTTAACCTCCTGAGCTTCAGATTCCTCATCTGTAAAATGGGGATAATAATTGTTCCTCTTTCATAGGGTTATTGTGAGGATTAAATAGTAATAATAATGCTAATATGTGTTGAGCACTCACATATGCCAGCCACTCTTTTAAGCACTTTACATGTAATGAACTCTCTTATTAAGATAATGCATATAAAGTACCCAACACAGTACTAGGCACTTATGAGGCATGCAATAATTAACAATAATAATACCATTAAAGATGGCAAGATCAGTGCCTGCAGATCACTTAATTCATGAGGTTTTCACACATGTTTTCCCACATGTTTTTCAAAGTCAGACTTTCTATAGCTTTCACCCTGGATTCTAATTTCTTACTGAAGTGCACATCTGTCCCCCTCCCCCCACCCTGGTGGTCCTTCACCATCTTGCATTCCAGAATATCACAAGAACTCTGGCTAAAGCCCTTGCTGAAAAGCTGATACA